CTAACCGGAAGTCTGACTGACACGTACAACATACCCAGACGACCGTCTCGACGAGAGCTTTCCATCGCCGTCGAGATTGCCGGATTCCGACGTCTCACGCGCCGCCGCAAGCTCCCAGGCTGCAAAATTTCGTTTTGATCTGTTTGCATCCGTTTGATCTGGTTTTGATCTGATCTTGTTCGTGCAACCCAAGACGTGATTTGCGGTCAATCAATTGCAGTCAACCATTCGTGGTAAACCAGATCTACATAAATTTTAAGCCGTAAGTTCTCTACGTTAAACCTTTAGATCCGCTGCGCATAGGTTTACGTTTGCTATTGAATTCGTAACTTGTACATAACGAGATCCTCATAGATCCCAACAAGTGGTATCAGAGCACTTGGTTAATTCGTTTTGTACAAATTTTGAATTTTTACGGCTTTATTTGACAAGATGTGTTCAAACGAAGCCATATATTGAATTATATTTGCATAACTCGGTTTTTGCAGGAAAATAGTTAATCCACTATTATGGCCGATTATGTGTTTGATGAATGTTGTTGAATGAGATGTATGGTTTTAAATTTGTTTTTAAAGCCTCGGACATGTTGAGGAGTTAATGGATGAGTGTTTGTAATAATTATTGCCCGGGGGTTGATCGGATAGATTTAATTATTTGTTAAGAAAACATGTACATCCATTCGTTGGATCTAGGATCAAATTATGTAATTTTTTAAATTATATTTTTCGTGTTGTGATCGTGTGTTGATGACCGGGAGATCACAAGAGATCAACGAGCCTCGAAGAATTAAAAAAAAATAGGCATTTTTTCCGACGAATCGGTGGCGACGGTCGGCAAACCGGCGGTGGCTGGTGGCGGCGGCAGGTGGCGGCGGCAGGTGGCGGCTGGTGATTGGTGTTTTTGCCTTGATGTCTAAGCAGTACAAGATCAACCAGGATTCTACTACTTAAAGGAGTTCCAGTTGAACAGGGAAAGAACTGTCACAATTTCCTTATTTAAGGAGACTCAATATTTAATGGCCATAGTAGTGGATTTATTTATTTATTTAATTAAAATTATTATGCCATTAAATTATTATTTATGCATGTTGATTAATTATGTTCTTGGATGGAATTAATTTTGTACTGCTAGATTAATTATGCATGTTAATTAATTATGTAATGCATAGGATTAATTTGGAATTGTGTCAATAAAATATGCATGTGATTATTTATTGCACTGGCATGGATTACTTTAGAATTGCATAAATTATTGAATATGTTAATTAATTATTGCATTAACATAGATTAATTTAGAATTGCATTAATTAATATGCATGTTAATTAATTATTGCATTAACATAGATTAATTTGGAATTGTATAAATAGTTAAAAATCCTCATTAAATTATACTAAGTTTGAGAAGGGATTTTAAATTAAAGTTAATTGTAAAATTCCTAAGGCCTCCATTTCTAATTTGTCGGTAAATGAATTAATTGCGGTAATGGGCTCCCCCACGGGTGACATTGCTAAAATTGGTTGTAGGAAATTACCAGGACAAATTTCTAAAGTTAGACGGTTAGAGGGAATCTTAAGAGAGCGCGCGGGCCTCCCTACGGGGGATGTGTAATCAATTTTGACAACCTCAGAATCGAGAAATGGGATTCACTTAGAATGGATTTGTCTATAAACTCCCCACGGGGTCCCTGGATTTATTTCATGGCCAAATGGAGACCGATTATTAATTTTGTTCGTCATGAATTTGGTTTTGACTTATGGAAATTAATGGGCCTTGAAAAGTCCTTCTCTTACAAAATGCGAGTTTGTAGGGCGACTCACGTAGCATGCATTCTCACGAGGTGTAATAGATGTCGGTGAATTTAAGTTAATATTGTTTTGAGGATATCAATATTAGCAGTTAAATTCAAAAGTGTTAATTCTTGATTGTCTGTAATCGAATTAATTAATGGACATTATATCTTAAACGTGGGGAGGTAAATCGAGTAATTATTATTGGAGTCTCAAATATAATTTGGGCTAGGAAGAGGGAGTGCAATAATATAATGTTGGTGACCCATTACTATTATTTAATTAATTAGAGGAGTGGACTTGGCCCACAATTAGTCTAATTAATTAAGGAGCCCTTTTCCTAATCTCCTAAAGGTCCCTACTGTAGCTCTATATATACATCATAAAGCTCATAAGAAGAGAACTTAATCTCATATTGACGAGATATACACGCCGTCCCTACTCTCTCTCTCTCTCTAGATCTCATTCGAGCTTTATCTTCTTCTTGTTGCTCCACTGGTACAAGTTCAAGAAGGGTGTATTGAGTAATACAGTAGAAGATCTGTAGGTAAACCGAGACGAAATATATTTTGACCTACAGATCTAACCGGAAGTCCGATTGAAACGTACAGCATACCCAGACGACCGTCTCGACGAGAGCTTTCCATCGCTGCCAAGATCGCCGGAATCAGACGTTTCACGTGCCCTCACGCGCCGCCACAAGCTCCCAGGCTGCAAAATTTCGTTTTGATCTGCTTGCATCCGTTTGATCCGGTTTTGATCTGATCTTGTTCGTGCAACCCAAGACGTGATTTGCGGTCAAACGTTCGTGGTCAACCAGATCTACATAAATTTTAAGCCGTAAGTTCTCTACGTCAAACCTTTAGATCCGCTGTGCATAGGTTTACGTTTGCTATTGAATTCGTGACTTGTACATAACGAGATCCTCACAAATCCCAACAGGGCGCGCGCGCATTACCGCGCGCGACGAGGAATTTGCCTCGCAGGTGGCGCGCGACACGGAAGGCGGCTAGGGTTTTCGAGCGACGACTTGGCGGGTAAGCAAAGGGATTTGGGACGAGACTCTCATAGCTTATTTAAGATTTTTTAGTTTGGTTAGGAGTTCAAATAAAAGGCATGTGCCTATTAGTATCCTATTAGTATTTTATTAGTTAGGAAAGTCTTTATTCTCAAGATGTTTAGTTGCCTTAGGATTTATTTACTTGCATAATTTAGGAGTTCTATTTAGACTAGGATTAGATCTTTTTGGTATCTATAAATACCCACCTACGTACCATTCGAAAATATTATTGATGAGTGAATAGAAAAGTCGAACGTATGTTCAAAGTTCTCGTGTGTTTTCTCTCGTGAGTTTACATAGAGTTCGTGATAGGAATAAGACCAACATCCGAGTTTCGTCACAGTGATAGGAACAGGACCAATATCCGAGTTTTGTCATACCTATCGCGAAGTACGAATGCGTCGGCGCGCGTATTAGCAACCTGTCGCAAGGGACCAAGGTGTCGGCGCGGGTTTCAAGCGAATCGAGCTAGACGTAACACACGATTGCGCCCTAACAGCCCAGCCGCGCCAGAGCCGCGCGAGTAGTGTCTGGCCGCGTCAGTTCTTGTGCCAGTCGCACTCGGGTCATGACCAGTCGCACGCTCAGTGCCCAGTTGACCTCGATTGTGCCCAGCAGCACCCGAATGGCACCAGTCGTGCCCGTGCTCAATCCAGCAGCGCACCAGAGCACCCAGTCACCCTCGGTCGTGCCCAACAGCACCTAGTGGCACCAGTGGTGGCAGGGCTTGTGCCAGCCGCACCTGCCCGCACCCATCAGTGCCTAGTACCGAGGCCCGGTCGCACCCAGCTCGTGCCTAGAGCCGCTCCAGGGCACCAGCAGGACCTGCGCGGGACCGAGCCCAGCCAGTCCATGCAGCCCGTGACCACCCAGTCCAGAGTGAACCGGTGGTCCAACCCGATCCAGTTCATCCCGACCCGGTTCAGTCAGTTAGCGAACCCGTAGAGCATTTTGGTTCGAGATTTTCGGTCCTAGTCTTATTCCAAAATTTAAGTATTTTTCCAAGCTAAATCAGTTCAGTTACGTATATCAGTTTGACTTCCGGTCTCAGTATTATTTTTAGCGAACCTGTAGAGCGTTCCTTTATATCCGGTTGAGTTAACTGATAGAGTAGAGAATCTTAGCATATTATTGAGCATATGACGAGCATAGCACTTAGTATATTTTGTTTGCTTATATTTTTATGTAGCTTGAGGAGTCAGCTACCAGCACAACAGCACTTACGTATTTTCAAAGCAGATCAGGTGGGGAGCCAGTCTGGGTATTACATTGAGTATAATAGTCGAGATCATGTTCAGGTATGTATATGAGTTTATCCGCTTGGGGTCAAGGCCGAGTTTGCCTTCCCTAAGTTCTGGTGGTGGCCCAGTTCGCCTTAAATATACCATCAGAGTGTGCAGACGGTTACCGGCCAGAGTATTCCGGGAGTTATCGGCCATAGAGTTCGGGGAGATTTCAGTTTACTTATATATACCTGTATTGTGATCTCATTATTATTATTGTTGTTTACTTTAGCATGGGTTTTTATGGAGTACAAAGGGACCAGCACTCACCCCCATTATGTTTTTCCAGATGATAGGGTCGGCGGGCAAGCATGAGGGCAGTTGTGGTGGTTGTGGTCGTGGATTTGGCACAGCGAGCCGTTCCAGGGACATTTGTTTACCATGTTTTGTATAACTATTATGACCACGCATTTTCAGACTTCTACTACGCTTATTTTCTGTATCGAACTTGCATGACAATAATTCTAGACTTAAAAGTTTTACCCAGTTCGCCAGTACGAACGGGTCCAGTTCATGCTTGATTCGTTAAAATATTAATATGATTTTCTTTAAGTCTAAACCAGTTGATAGACCTAATTCAAAAAAATCGGATTTTAAAGCAGATAAATTTTTAGCAGCATCCCGAGATAGTTTGCAATGATTTCGAAAAATTTATAAGTGTTTTCGAAAGTGAAATTTGCTAAAAATTGGCCCTAAGTAGCAAGGTGTTGCAAATTTATTTCGATTATGCCTTAGTTTGATGTCTATCGCAGCCCTTGTGTATTGTTGTAATCGTTTTTCCCACCAGATAAAAAGTCGTTTCCCTTCTGACCCTCAGTGTGCACTGATTTGATGTTAGGGTTTCTTTTATACCTTACTGGCAAAGATAAGATGGTAACCCTAATCGACATCCCTCCACCGCCGCCGCTGCCAAATATAGAGGATTGGAGAAGGTTTCGGGAGGTTGGGTTGTTGGATGTGGTGGCTCTGGAGAGGCGTGATCGGGAGGCGCTGCAGGAGAAAGTTGAAAGGCTTGAAACAGAGGTTAGACGAAGAGAAACAAAATTATGTTGGACTTTTATAATTTTTTAGTGGCTAACGTTTGGTAATTTGATTTTCGTAAATGGGCTTTGGTTACAAATTTTTAATGTTCTTTGTTTGTGGTGAATGATGTGTTTTTTTATCAGTTTACTTACTAACTAATGCATAAAGTCGAACAAGGTGGTGACATATTTGTTTAAAGGAGCAACCATAATCATGTTTCATAGTTCTCTTGACATCCAAAATTCTCTTAACGACAGGATGGAATTGTTGGAGTATACTATAACAAACTTTTATGTGAGCTTTTAGATTGTATTTATTCGATTTCCCATTTGACTGAAATAAATGTTTTCACATTGTTGCTTTCTTTATGATTGCTTGTATGCTAAATGTCTAATTATCTTATATTGTAGACAATGTGGTGTGTTACTAGTCACACAAAAGATTACATTGTCGGTCCCTTATAAGATATAAATGGTATTCACAACTGAGATAGTTATGGAAATGACTATCGGATTAAGTTGTAGTATAAACTGGATATAGTTTATGTTGGCTATAGGTTTATACTGGCGCGCTGCGTCGCATTGAAAGGATCCCAGTTGAGATGTGTTCTTCTGTTCTGACTGTCATAAAACTCAACTAATTCTTAACTCTAATTGTGATACTTAGATATGTGGGATATTTGTTTGTTACTTTGATTTACCATGGTGAGAACCAAGTATTGGTTCAATATGCTCCGTATCTTGGGTAACAACATTGTCAGGATGATATCTATTTACTGGCATTAGGAACCTGTGTCCTTTACATCCAGGTTGATGACGTCCACTTAAGGAACTCATAAAGATTATCGTATCAAACCCTGCTGGTGGATTTAATCTGTACGATAATAAGGTTGAGTGGTACTACTTAAGGAATAAAAGATATTAATTAATTAAAGCAGTCAGAAGCTTTAATAATTAATGGACGTGCGATATCTTAAACACTGGGAATTATATCGAGTCTAATAGAAGCCCTGATTCATTTCGGGATAGGACGAGAGTGCAATATTAATTCTCTAGTGGAAATATTCCTCAGCTTGGGAAGCCAAATAGAACATATCCGGAGGCTCTGGAGACAAGGGACCCTTGCCCCTCGGCTCTTGACTTGCGGCATGTTAAGGGTGGACCAACCAACTCTTTGCAACAGAGTTTCTCCTAATGGCGAGAGGAAAGAGTGACCCGCCTCTACGTTCTCAAGTAGTGCACTCTTGCTTTCATCTCCTTCTCTTGGACCATGCCTCCAAACCCTATCTCTTCTAAGAGGTCCCTAGTCTTGCCCAAGGACCTCTATAAAAGGAGGGATTGCACACGTTCTCAAACCCTAAGAGATTACATCACGTCTTCAGTCACCACAACAACGTAAGAGAAAACGTGAGGGGTTCAGAGAAGAACGAAACCAATCCACTGTTTTCAACCGTTTGGTAGATCGTTGTCCATCCGGCATCGAAACGTGGTCGGAACACAGACTAGAAGATCGCTCAGATCGAATCAAAGCCTCGAAGAAAGGTAAATTCTAGGTTCGTCCTTTAGGAGCATTCCTAGGGTTATTCGAAATCATGTATGTACATGTTTGGTATCCGATATCTATCCGTGGGATGGATCGCCTCGTCGGCGTGTTCCAGCAATTGGTATTAGAGCCACGGTTTCGTGGATTATCGGCTCTGCCTGAAAAATGTAGTTGATTTCGTGTATTTGTTTTCAATCATGTTTATGGTGTGGATGAATTTATTTCGATTATGCCTTAGTTTGATGTCTATCGCAGCCCTTGTGTATTGTTGTAATTGTTTTTCCCACCAGATAATAAGCGTGGGTAGTGTAGGCGATTTTGTAGATTGTAATAGGGCTGTTGTGTTTGTATTTTACTGTAATTTGTTGCTGTGAGGACAAACACGATGAAGATGGGCGATTTGGAGGCGGCGGCTAGGGTTCAGCGTCTACCGATGGTGATTTCGTCGGCGAAAATTGTTTTGGCCATAACTTTTGCTACGGGTGTCCGTTTTCAGCCCATAATACCATTTCGGAAACGGTAGAACGAGATCTAAAATGTTGTGGTTTGTTCTCCTAACAAACCATTTCTAGGTATCCCGATATTTTGTTCATCTTTCATCTTTCTCCGACAAACTTCACATACCCTTCAACTTTAAGAACCGTAAAAAGTCGTTTCCCTTCTGACCCTCAGTGTGCACTGACTTGACATTAATTAGGGTTAATTTTATACCTTACTGGCAAAGATAATATGGTAGCCCTAATCAACGTCCCTCCACCGCCGCCGCCAAATATTGAGTATTGGAGAAGGTTTCGGGAGGTTGGGTTGTTGGATGTGGTGGCTCTGGAGAGGCGTGATCGGGATGCGTTGCAGGAGAAAGTTGAAAGGCTTGAAACAGAGGTTAGACGAAGAGAAACAAAGTTATGTTGGACTTTTATAATTTTTCAGTGGCTAACGTTTTGTAATTTGATTTTCGTAAATGGGGTTTGGTTACAGATTTTTAATGTTCTTTGTTTGTGGTGAATGATGTTTTCTTTTATCAGTTGACTTACTAACTAATGCATAAAATGGAACAAGATGTTGACATATTTGTTTAAAGGAGCAACCATAATCATGTTTCATAGTTTTCTTGACATCCAAAATTCTCTTAACGACAAGATGGAATTTGTGGAGTATACTGTAAAGAAAACTTTTATGTGAGCTTTTAGATTGTATTTATTCGATTTCCCATTTGACTGAAATAAATGTTTTCACATTGTTGCTTCCTATATGATTGCTTGTATGCTAAATGTCCAATTATCTTATATTGTAGACAATGTGGTGTGTTAGTAGTCACACTGAAGATTACATTGTCGGTCCCTTATAAGATATAAATGGTATTCACAACTGAGATAGTTATGGACATGACTATCGGTTTAAGTTGTAGTATAAACTGGATATAGCTTATCTTGACTATAGGTTTATACTAGCGCTCTGCGTCGCATTGAAAGGATCCCAGTTGAGACGTGTTCTTCTGCTTTGACAGTTATGAAACTCTACTAATTCTTAACTCTAATTGTGATACTTAGATATGTGGGATATTTGTGTAACGCCCCGTTTTATTTTAAATAATTTACCGAATTTATTTATAAAAATCGGAGTTTATTTTTCGCAAAATTCCAATTTAAACTTTAATATTCGACGGGCGCTACTTAATCAACTAAAACAAATATACATTTACACAGATAAAAACTAATAGTTCAAAATTAAATTTTAAGTTATCCAGAAACTTCAAACCAATCATGCATAAAAAATATTCCAACATGTTCGAAATAAATAAAGCGGAAGCATAAATATTCAAAGTTAAACAAATGGTCTATCAAGAAAATAGAAAGAAAAGCGGAAGCAAGTAACACACAATCCAACGACCACCATTCGATCGTCCCTCGCTGCCGCCGCCAACCATGCTCAACATAAAAGGATAGGAAGAGGAACAAGAGGACAGAAAAGTAAATGGGGGTGAGTACAACCATCATACTCACCATTACCGCACAGTATATTTCGCATAAAGATCCATAACCATAAATAATGTATGCATAGAATTCAAATCTAACTCCCTATTAGGCCCTATCGCAAATCTCCTATGTACATACAACAAACCTTCCGACCAGACATCGGCAAGGATGTAACTAGAAGCACTCCCACCCCGGATGCAACGACCATAGGATATTATCCAGGAGACAGTGAAGTTGAATTACCCCTCCGCTCTACACGGATTCGGGCGTTCAGACAATCCCCTCCGCTCTACACGGATTCGGGCGTCCACCTCCCGGATGCAACGGGCTGGTGACTTCCACTGATTATGCATTCGTCAAGGGCACTACCATCGGGACACTTAGACTAGGGTTCTCACGCATACAAAAGCTATCACGACAAACATTTATACGAAATAACAAGTGCGATAAATGTAGATTCAACATAAATGAACCCACCTGGTTGTGTCCGGAATAAACACAACATAAGGTACGCGGCGAGGTCGACTCGTCAAACACCTACATTAGTAAAATATCCTTATTACAGACTATTCTGTAATCATTAAGTCTAACTAAGTTCATATAATCATTTAAATATGCATTAAAGCAAGGAAAACACATTTTCGAAAATATCACATAAGTTTTGAAAAGTTGACCCGATAGCGTTTTTAAAATCGACATAACTCTCATCATATAACTTATATCAACATGAATCAAGTTGCATTGGAATCATAAGACATGAAACCACAACTCTTATGAAGATACTGAAAGCAAATAAGGTCATCTAACAGGTGATAAATCAACAAAAATTAAAAAATTTGAGTCACAGTCCAAAATTGGGAAATTAAACTTGATCAGGTTTCAGTAATTACAATCTAACTGGGGCTACAAGCATGATATTAATGAAATTCAAAAACCACATGATAGGAAACTCAAATGTCTACAACTTTTCTGAAGATCACATTGGCAACTAATCACATTATCAATGAGTTTAAACACAAAACATGAGATTCAGTAAACCTGTCAGGATTTAATAAACGATATGGACAGCACCTCCGTTTTTAACACTTATCTTGAGCTACAGACCTCTAAATGATATGGTTCAAATCTAAAATTAAACCTTAAGCATGCCTCTACAACTTTCATTTAGAACACAAAATCATATAATATTATTTAGATAGTGAAAAATAGGTTAACATTCGGTTTCAGATTTCTACCAACATGATGATTCCTAACTCATGCATATCTAACTTCATGTAAACACAATTCAAGTTACAGAGTACATATCAACATGAAAGTTATCTTATTTGAAAGGTAAGAAACAACTCTACAACTTTCATGAAGAGTATAAGTTCATACGAGTACATTTTGACATGAAAAACAGATCAAATATTAAACACATTTATGCTGCCGGGTATGGGAAAAACTGGAAGTACAACAAATCTTCTCAAAATCATAACTTTTCTGATAAAGATCGGAATCGAGAAATTTCAAAGCCCAGATATAGAAAACTCAAAATACTACATATCTCATGAAGGGCACAACTTCAAATATTCCGTCTATGATAGCTTAAAATGCAGCACAACTGAGCAGTGAAAAACATGATTTCACATAAAATGACAATCACATGCATATTGGATGTTCGAATCTCACGCTTGGTTCATATAGCATCTCGACAGCAAGAAATATCATTTATATATTAGCAAGGAAAGAACATAATGGGGATTCATAACATCTAATGATATTCGATAATTATTAGACGAAAAATTAATAAAATCGAACATATAGTCGTCAACACTTATCAAATTCATGATCATCACATAAAATCGAAAAATTGTGGAGTTTAGTAAAAAAAGATTTACCAAACACCAAAGGGTAAATAGTCGAGGTTCGGTGTCGGATGAACGGAGCTCAGAGACGACAAATCCTACGAGCGGGGAAGATCGTCCGCTTGACTCGCTCGACGTTAACGGCGGCTCGCTCGACGAAGGTGGTGACCGGAAGTGGCTCGTTCTCGCGGGAATAGGTTGCGAGCGGCTCACGGCGGCTGTTTGTTGTGCGGTTGGAGGAGCGCGGGGCGTCGTCTTTTTCTGGCAGGACGTGCGGCGAGCTCGGGGTTTTCCGGTGAGAACAAGAAAAATGAAAGGAAAAATAGAGAAAGGGAGAGGAAGTGACCGAGAGAGGGAGAGATAGAAATGATGAGGGATGTGCGTGAAGAGAAATAAAGAGAGAAGGGGTTACATATAATCACTTTGGTAAGTTACAAATTTTTCCAAAAATCTGGTCGGGCTTAAAGGGAGGGATTTGAGATAAAGTTAAGGGATAAAATTCCCTTTTGAATTTCAAATGTTTAAACATAATTCCATGCATGCACAAGAGATGGAAGGGGATTCGGCCGTTTCTCTTACGCGGGGCGTGTAATATCCCATTCAGTAATTAATAAAAGTAATTATTCTAAGTTTGAACTAATTACTTTTATTAATAATGCTCGTTCCTAGTTTCGAGCCAGTTATTAAGTTATTTAGTTAAAAAAAATTGACTTTAAGTCGAAAGTATTCTCGGTTCATTTTTATTCAGTAATCGAGCCAGTTCAGTAATTAATTAATTTCGGTCTGTTTATTGTTATAAATGGATTTATAAGACGGGATTAATTAATATAAGATGACGAATAATCGAAATTGAGTATATTTTGATTAATCGTTTAAGATAAGTAGTGAACTGAACTCAAGTATGTTCGGTCATGAGTTGAGTCTTAATTAAGTAATAGTCGAGCTTGAGTACTAAATACTTAGAATTTTTTTAAGTGTTCAAGTCATCAAGATAAGATCATAGTATCGAGCCTTAGCACAATTTGAGACAAGATAAGTCTCGAAGTAAGGTTAAGTATCCATGAACATTTAAGATGTAAATGTTCAAAGAAGTGAGAAAATTTATTTAGATATTATAGTCTATTTAAATTATTTTAAGAGAAACCGAAATTTGTAGAATTTTTAGTTTTTACGGTAATCGTTTGGTTTAAGTCCGAATGTGGTTCCGTAAATGTTAGAATATTCCAAGACCATTATATTAGCTTCTAAGAAGCAATATATTCAGTAAATTGAAGGAAAAGCAAGGAGTAAAAGATATTTAAATTTTAGAATTTTCAGTTTTACGGTAAACGTTCGTTTTAAGTCCGAATCGAGTTCCGTAAATTTTATTATTCTTGTTTTTCTTAGCATGTTCTAAGACCATAATGAGCATTAATTTTCATAAAAAGAGATTTAAGAGTCAGCCATTTTGAAAGAAAATGCATAAGAAATAAAAATGATGATTTTTATTATTCTTATTATTTTTTTTTCTAAAAATTTTTATATGATGAATGGGAACATTTTTTCAATAATATATGGAATCAATTCCATCAGATTAAGCATGAAATTTTGGTCATCAATTGGTGAGAATGAGATGAGAAAATCACAACAAAGTTTTGCTAAGTCTTTAAGTTAGCATTTTTTTTCAACAATTGGTGAGAATTTTATTACTCTTTGGTGGACTAAGTTTTATCTATCAAAAGCTCATTCATGGCTATAAATAGAGGCATTTCAATCAGATTTTATCATCAAGTATCTTCTCAAATCATCACAGTTTCATGAAAAAGATAGAAGAAGAGAGAAAAATAAAAATAAAAATAGTAGAATTTTAATTTTCGAAGAAATCAATGAGCAACTTTAGATTTTCAAGCAAGAAGGAGGTAAGATGCTATCTTTTTAACATGTTTAGTAGATGATATTAAGTTTTTAATAATGTTTTTATATGACTTAGATATTAAAATTTTATATGAGTATAAGCATGCTAGAAGATAAGTTATTTCCAGCTCATATATATGTCATGTGTGTTCAGTTATGATGAGATTTTTACCTAGCTATGAAAATCTGGAAATATATGCTTTCTATAGTTATTTCTTGTGTAAAAGAGGAGTACATAGGATCAAGAATCAAGTCATTTAGTTTAGTATAACTCAAGATATGAATTTTTAAAG